AGGGTGACATAAATATGTTTTATTGTCACATGCTTCCACGTCCATAAATCAGCAAACTCGCATCTATGTTTCCAGTCCACAAAATCTCAATGAAAGCTGCTCATGTTTTATAATGCTAGTAAAGTCACTAAGGGGAATTTATCAAAACTGGAGCAGACAAAATCTGAAGCAGTTGCCCATGGCAACCAATCAGCTTCTCTCTTCATTCTGTTTACTTAAGATTTGAAAATGAAAGAGAGATGCTGATTTAGTTGCCAGTTTTTGTCTGCTCCCGTTTTGATAAATTTCCCTCACTGTTCAGCCAGTCAATGTTAAGAGGGAAGGGAGATGCATTTTTTTTTGCCAGAGTTAGGATCTTCTCAGCTATCGAGAGTTTAGTATAATGTAATGACCCTTGGGTCAGGGCAAGATCTCTGATTGTAGTGCTTTGGCAATCAAAATGGAAACTCCATGGTAACTGGAGGTATAAGTATTATTAAAGATTTTAGCTATCCAAGGCTTTTTAAGTGCTATGATTATGGAGCTTATTAAGTGGGTTTTTTTGCAGACATATAAGGTGTGGTGTAAAATTCAGGAGATTAAAAACAATAAATAATTTTTTTATTCTCCTTTCTTTTCCTCAATTCAATTGAAAATGCTCTTTATTAAAGCGTATCAAAGCTGAATGCAAATGCTGATTTATACTCTTGTATCCATGTAAAACCTTAATAAAAAGTAAGTATACAAAAACAAGGGATTGCTTGAGTTTTGAATTAAGACCTCTGGTTTTCCAAGAAACAATCTTGATATTGCTATACATATTGCATATACTAGTGATGCACCGATACTAGTATCGATGTCCAGTCTGGCCGGACAATTCCTCCTCCTCCCCACTGCCTGCAGAGACCAGCACAGCCCTGGACACCCCCACACCGTCCATACAGCCCTGGAGAGACCCGAACGCTGTCCCCCCGGTGAGACCCACATACAGCCCTGGTGAGACCCCGCACAGCTTCCCGAGACTCCGCACAGCCCTGGTGAGAGAACACACAGCCCTAGTGAGACCCTGCACATCCTCCTGAGACCGCGCACAGCCCTGGGTAGACCCCAGACAGCCCTGGTGAGCAACACAGAATATGTAGCTTCATATTCTTATGTATTGCTCGGATTTGTAGTCCTCTATAGTTGGTGGTATTCTGCATTGCTGTATAATGGATTGCTGGAATTTCTAGTCCTTTTAAAGCTGGTGGTATTCTGCGTCGTCACTCTACTGCTTGGAGTCAGTGGCAGAACTACTAGGGTCAGAACAGTTGCAGCTGTGACAGGCCCTGGTGCTCCACCACTGTCCTAAAATTATTAAGTCTGTATTGTTTTAGAAAAAATGTTGCATGTCACTTTACAAAAAAGGTTTTATTAATTTGTACCGGCGAGCACTTGAGGAACAGTACCTGTACTTGATCTTAAAAAAAATCGTATTGATGGATCCCTAGCATATACAATATAGGAAAGTGATGCATGATATGGAACATTCCATGGCAGAACACATTTTTCAAGAGGTAACCATAACAAGATTCAGCTACCCAACTCTTTAACCTCATCAGTCCCAACTCCAGTGAGTCTATAATCCCGTGACAAATGAACAGTCCATAACTGTTAACAAGCAGGAAGCGGCAGCCAACATGGCAATCCAGGTCAAACTTGCCTTCTTCAGTAATGCAGAGGTATAGGGTGAATTGTTACATGGGGTAAGTATAACAACAGTAAATAAACCAAACATATACTGGTGAATGCGAAAGTCAAAACTTTCACTGCAGAACCAGGGGTCAGAAAAAGATATCGTAGAGGGGATTCTGTGGCAGAAGTTTAACAGTGGAAATGATACTCATGAAAAGGAGTAATATATCCAGGGTATCTGCTGCCAGAGTAGTGTCTGGTAATAGTGCATTCCCAGAGGACTGGAGGCACTAATGAAGTGTAAATACTCCAAACTATTAAATACAGCACACAATGCAACTAACCCATAGGTTGCAGAAGATAGATGATGATGGGTGTGTTGGAAGGTTACTTAGGCCTTAAACAAAGCCATGCAGTGTCGCCTAGATGTGGCATAGATTCATAGAAGAGATTAACAGGGATGTAACAGTGTTGAACCATACCATAAAGTCATGGGACATAGAGGGGGGTCATCTCTTAGACTGTTGAAAAAAGATAAAAATATAAAGTAATCCAGTGCTCATCTGGGACCTCATGAGTCTTGTTTGCAGGAAGCTGGGCAAAGTTGGAATCCATCTAGGTGGCTGCTTCTCATGGGGATATGAAGAAGAATGGTTTGCCCTCCGCAGTTACTCTGTTTAGCATTGTAGATCATGGTATACTGGATGCCTTTTTCTCTGAGACATTTCTTCACATCGAAGAATGATACTCTTTGTTTCTGGGTATATGGCTGTACGGTTCCCCTATACAGTCTAGGTATATGTCTGTACGGTGACAATGAAACTCTAGATCCCCAGTGAGTCATTCCGCTTTACGGATTGCCTCTTTATCTTGCAAACTGAGGATTTTTGCAGTCAACAGTCTGGGCTTCCAGAGGTGGTTAATTAGAGGGATATGTTATTATTCACAGTTTCTAAATGATTTATAGGTGAATAAGCAAATGTATCCTTGGTCATGTTGGATGATGTGCCCATATACTGCCAGGTTTTAAGGATTACAAAAAATACTTATATGGTTTACATTATGGCAGAATAACATTTTATATGCAAGTCATAGGTGTATTTGAACTTTTTCTGTGTTCCAGTTCTCTTCTGTTTTTTTGTCTGGAGTGACTAACCATCTATGTGAAATAGAGGCATTTTTTTTATATTTCATCATCTTTTTCTAGTATAAGACTGGGAAAAAGGGAAGCCCAGTTCATTTAATACAATTCAAACCACTGAATAATGGAACAAGTCTTCAGAGTAAAATAATCATTATATAATTTGCTCTCTACTTTCCCGTTCAAGTCGGATATTGCAGTGAATGTAAGGGACACCACCAGGTCAGCTCTTTCCTCCTTCACTCTGTACAAGAACTCCATTCATAACGTGTCCTTTTTTATCCTTTTGAGTGAATAAGTAATTATTCAATATAGAAGGCAGGATATTTGGAGCTGGCTATTTAATGTGGCAGCACACCGTAATGAAGCCTACCTTTCTTGGCAACTTGAGAAGGGAATGTAACAATTCCAACAAGAAGGAAACTTTATCTGGTTTGACGGGCTGTTTCTTTGGCACATCAGTAAACCTTTTATCCCTGTGACTGACAGCTCCAGAAGGGTCACATTCACCTCCATTCTATTGCTTATTGTAATATTTGATGGTGGACAAGGTTGAGTGGTACTGAGGGTAATCTGAACTTGGTTTTCCACATAGTAAAGGCTAAAAGACAGCTTGATCCCCAGTATTGTGGTGTAACACATGCTATGGCTTAGCATTTATTTATAGAGGATAATCTTACTGTTTATAAAGAAAAAGAAAAATCCCTAAGAATTGTTTACCAGCTCTACAGGGATAATTCTAACTACTCATTGTAAAGCATATTATCACAAGAATCACTAAAAATAGCAGTGTAAACAAATTGCATAAATGTGCCCATACTATCATCAATGCTTTAGCACACGCTATCACAGAGAGCACCTAGTGTGCGGTACTGTGTGCTAGGTGCATTGCTATTCTTTTGAATGGAACCCCAATGCATTCAAAAGTCAAATTTCATTCAACTCATTTAAATAAATGGCAACGCAACATTCCTAGCGCATGCTACCATATGTTCTGTGTGATAGGTGTGCTTAGCACAAGGCTCCAGCGTGAATGGACCCATAACAAAATATATATTTTTACTCAGATAAAAATGCAATATTGCATACAAAACATACGAAGTATTTTATCCAGCCAGCAGGTGGAGCTTTGATCTCCTTTTTACTTGAAATTCCTAATTACCACCTATTGTAAAAAGTCTGATGTTTACAAAGCTAAGGGTCTATTTAGATTGATGAGGTGTGTTATGTGTGTTTAGGCTGTCAATGCAGCAAAAAATGGGTCTGCACCATTTTTGTTCAGATGCACCACCACTCACATTAGTATGTTTCCATGTGGCACGGTGCACTGCAATGCAGGTGCGTTGCAAATGAATGGCACCACAACGCAGTAACGATGCATTAACAATGCATCTAGTAGCTTTAAGATGGTATTTACAAACCGCTCTAGATTAATCCAAGCAGGGACTCGTCCCTACAGTATAAGACAACTCTGTAAATTATTTAATTGAGAGATTGTCTGAAAGGCAACTATTAATGCTGTCCCTGGGCTTCGGTGGTCTATGGACCCATAACATCATCATGTCTAATGGAAGGTACATTAAATGCAAACACGCCAAGGGACATACCACAACCAGAGAGGGAGAGAGGTGAGTGGTCAGTGCTGCAGGACGGAGGATCAGGTGAGTGAGTATATTTTTATTTTCGCCCGTAGACCAAAATGAGCACAGTGTCTTTTAAAGGCAGAGTCTAGCTTTTATAAAATGACTATTTTTTGGATGCTACAGCCATGAAATATTTCTTTTTTCAGGTCTACCACTCGGCCATTATAAGGGTGTTGGAATCTTGAATTCTGACGTCAGTAAGTTTTATTTGACATTATGGGGACATGGCACTGTTTTTTTAGCTTCATAAAGGCCATGGTGGAGAAGACCCAGATGAAAATATTGGCAAGAATGTTTTGCCATCAGAGTAACCATGGCAACCATGTTTCAATAATCGATTATGTCGATTAGTTGTTGCAGCCTAGTTTAGTTGCATATATGTGCAATGGAACAGAAATTCAAAACCTATCTTGAGAAACAGAAGTAACTTGTGAATGTAATTTCAATTTTGATGTTGAATTTCTATTAGAAGATTTCTAGTGTAAAGTAATATTCAGCCTACATTAAAGGTTGTGTTTTGATTACCTATTTTAACTTGCTTTCCTTTTTTACAGCACTATGAGCCATGCAATCTCTGTTTCTGTGGATGCAATAAAACCCAGGACAAAACTGAAATGAACGGAAAAAAGAAAGACAATGAACAAAAGCAGAGAGTGCCCAAAATATTTTTTGGTACACGAACACACAAGCAATTAGCCCAGATAACCAGGGAACTACGGAAAACAGCTTACTCTGGGGTGCGGATGACTATCCTTTCCAGTAGAGATCATACCTGTGTAAATCCTGACATTCAGTTTAACAGAAATGAGAAGTGTAAAGAACTTCTGGAAGCAAAGGATGTAAGTAGACAGTTATGGTGTGCTTCTAGTGTTATAAACACGATAAACTCCTTGTATAAGTCACTATTCTGACTCCGATTGTTGTGATAGCGATATATCCCTTGCTGAGACCTATATGCCTGGCCTGTATAAGCAGATATACTCACTGCGGACAATCCTTGTCAGATAGCTGAACTCACCAATACCGATTCATTCAAAAGGGTGCTTTATTCTGAACATCAAGGTTACAGCATATGACATGAACAGCAGATGAATGGTTATAGTATTGTGCGGTCGAAAAATGATGCCTTTTCTAGCGTACTGTGCAGAGTACATGTGTCCTAGTTACATGTGGCCTGTTAGCTGTGGCCATGACACAGGAAGTACTGCACTCAGAAGGAAGGGTGGGACTTACACAAAGAGGAAATACGTCACAAAGGGAACACAGAACATGTTTGATACCAAGAAAGGCCACTAGATGGCAACATAGGAACTAAATATAGAATGACTATAGAAATGGTATAGGGAAACAATCTATATAAATTCTCATCTACTAATAATGCTAATAACATATTCTATGCCTTATTGTGGCGGCACACTCCCCGTCTGGCATTGTAAATGTCACTATTTAAATCGTACAACAGTAGTTATGCAAATAAACAACAGTGCAATTTGCTTGATATCTGGAAAACCTGAAAGACATAATGGAGAACATGCATATAATGCAATAACAACTATTAAAGTCCATGAACTTGTAGCTTGTCCTCTGGACATAAAATAAAGAAGGAACATATAGCCACAAGTTCAAATATAAAATAAAGTCTGATGACTATCAGCATAGTAGACTTGATCACTGGAACAGTCTTTCAAGTGCAGTAAGTCACTCCATGAGAGGCAACTTGTAAAGTTCTTTGCTTGTGTAAATAAGATAGCCTTGGCACGTTGAACAGATTCAGCTTGGCAGTTGGGTTGTTTTTAGCAATGTCTTGCTTGTCAAGAATACATCTCACTGCTGTGCTAGAGATGCTTTGTTCTGCCTCGTGCAGTAGAATCAGCTGGTTTTGGGCAGAAAGAATCTGTTGGCATATATACCAGTCCTGACAGTAGGCATCTGTGGGCTTAGTGTGTTGGCAGTGTGTAGTATGGACTAACCTTGCAGTACTGCGTTCAGGCCTTGTCCACTTGGTGAAATGACAGTCCAAGACGAATCCTTGTTCCGATCTGGTTGAGAGGGTTTTGCCTTCAAGACAAATCTCTGGATCGTTGTCAGGATCTAGAAGACTGACGACATCAGTTGTTGCTTCTTCTGGATGATCCAGCAGGAATTCAGGACCTGTTGACCAAGAAGAATTTGCAAAGATACTTGCAGACATTGGCCTGGTGGCATGATCTGCAGGATTAACTTCTAATGGGACATAATGCCATTGTTCAGGTTTAGATGATTTCCTGATTCTTTCTACAAGGTTGCTGACATAGACATAGAAACGTTTAGTCTGGTTGTATATGTAGCCCCAGAACAACTTTGCTGTCTGTGTAGAATTTGATGTCATCTATCTGAATGTCTAGCTCACGTAGTATGAAATCTGAAATTTCTACAGCTAGCACAGTCACCCAAAGTTCAAACCTAGCAACCTATGTGGGTTTGATTAGAGGAATCTCTTACCTTGAGGTAGGCAACAGCTGCTATGGCCTCAGTCGATGCATCTGAGAAGATATGACGCTCTTTTCTCTGACTTGCAGCAAGGGAAGCTGAAGTGTAGCGGCTTGGTATTTGAATTCCATCTAAGGCATGTGAAGATTGTTTCCAGGACTCCCACTTTTAAAGCTTGTCAATTGGTAGCGGAGTATCCCAATCTTTAATAGTTTCTGAGAGCTGTCTCAATAAGGATTTACCTTGTATGGTGCTGGGAGCCACAAATCCCACTGGATCATATATGTTCCTAAGGTAAAAGTTGTGTGACCTTACAGTAGCAGAGGTCGCACGGCTCCCACACACCTTACGATAATCGTGCGATTGCAGGATTTCCCGCGATTATCGTACGATTATCGTAAGGTGTGTGGGCACCTTTAGAAAGAAAATCTTTTCAACTCATGATCATACGGTATGTGTCAAGGTTTGCAGTAGGAGCATTGCCATCAAGATTCTTAATTCAAAAATGGGAAGAGGGTGAATAGTTTTAAAAGAACCATTTCTGGCCTAAAACTGTAAAGGTTTAATGTAGACCGTTAAAAGGAAAATACATTTTTTTTTTAAAGTATATGAGCAAGAATTTAGTCTTTGCGCAGAAGTTAGAACGTTTCTGTTTATGCTTCTAAGCCTGCTTTTGCTATAGTATCCTTTCTAAATCTTTAAAAATGATGATTAGAACCACTTTAAAAGCATTTAGTTGTGGATAAAACAAAATTCTGGCTTTCCTTTCAGTGGTAAATGTGGTATAGACTGCTTAAAAATGTTTCAGCTAAGCCGGTATGACGCTCACATTTTCTGTTGTAGTGGGTACCTTTCTTCATAGTGCTGTTTCCTGAGTGCAACTGTTTCTTGTTGCACACTTACAGCAAGTGGGAGGGGCATCTGGTTCGCCTTCATTATCACTCCTGACTGAAACTGTTCTAACACAGCCTTTAAGTCCCCATTCACACCCAGGTGTTTGGTAGCTGAAAGGATAAGCACTACAAAGCTCAAACAGAGGGTTTCTGTTAATGTTCACAAAAGGATCTCACCGTCCAATTCTCTGGCTGCATCCATGCCACAGAGATCTCACAGGTGCAAGACAGGTGTGTGTTCACCTTCAATCCATTCAGCTCAAAAGACAGCCACACACCACAGGGTCTTCAAATATAAATCCAATGCTTATTGTAATCCACAAGGGTATACCATAGATATGCTCCCAAATACAACGGAAATCCTCTTACGCGTTTCACCGATAAGGCTTAATAGAGGTCACCTCTAAGATTAAACCTTATCGGTGAAACACTTAAGAGGATTTCCGCTGTATTGAGGAAGCACGTCTTTGGTATACGCTTGTGAAATACAATAACATTTGGATTTATATGACCCTGTGGTGTGAGCCAATATGGGTCTGTGTTAACCTGTGACTACACTCCCCCTTCCCCATCATTGGAGCTTTCTTGGCTCCATGGGACCTAAATCTGGTGTTTTCTCTGGCTACTCCCTTTGAATCACTATGTGAGGTCTTCTTGTGAACTTTCTCTGAATGTGACCTTTGTTTTTCCTATCACCTTGGCCAGGAGGGTTTTGGAACTGGAAGTTCTGTCTTGTAAGTCATTTTCAGATTTTACAGGGATAAAATTGTCTTGAACCCTAGGACATCTTTTTTGCCTAAGGCCCCTTTCACATGGGAGGATCAGGAGAGGATCTGTGCACAGATCCTCTCCTGATCACACCAGTACGGAGCAGATGTCACCGCTGTGCCATCAGTGTCCTTACAGTTTTTTCCTCCATCTTACGATGGAGGCTTATTTCTCAAGAGACTGGAGCCTTATTCTCTTTCATTACCCTTCCTACCATGTCAGTGAGAGCACCACCTGGGCTTTTCAGCACCAGGCATTTGTTTCCCAGATATGCAGGGGAGGCTACCTGGTATTTGGTTCATGCTTTCACAAAGTTTTTCCATATATATTAGAGGTAATAAATTGCATGTTTTCCTTCCTCTTATTACAGGACATACTCTGTAGTTTAATAAACTGTGTCCTGTGGTATTTTTCCACTTATCTACTGTTGTTTAGTCTAAACATTGTTTAAAATGTTGGACAAACCGTTCTAGTGCAACCAACTATTCTTTTAGTCATGTGCTTAGCAAGTGGAACATTGCAGCAATACCCAGTGTCTCCTTGGTTTATATTACGTACATAACATTTGGCTTGGTCATCACTGTTTTTTGGAATCTTGCCTTGTATTTGTGCCTGGCAACCTGGAAAAGCGCAAATTTATCTACCCAACCATTTTATTAGTTCTACTAAACCTGGCCAAAATTAGTGTGTTTTCATTCTTATTTTCCCTATTATTGCTTTAACTGGTGTTTTTTCCCCCAATATTCTCTAATTGCCAAATGCTTTCCAAACCATTGTCAAAGCGTTTGAGCGTTTAAGATAAAGATTTTTGAATAGAAATATTAGTTTCTGTTGCATTGTGTGTTATTGAATCAGGATTGTCAAATCTATAATACTAGAGTACAACTCTAATTAGGAAAAATCCATTCATTTAATACATTTAGTAAAAAAAACAAACCACTTATTTGCACAAAAAAAACTGCCAACACTTAAAAGTGAATGCTGCACTGCTTCTGGTTGTGACATTGTAAAGGCTCCACTCTACACGGTATGTATAATTAACTTCGCCAGAAATACCGTAGTGCAGAGCAGTCAGAACTGAGTAGACAGACCAGCCGCGCCTTTAGAGTTATTGCTGGCGCATAAACTTTTGACCATTGCTGGGCTGAGGGGTTTTGCAACATGATATATTTTCTTGTTTGCTGGATGTCTTGCTCCATGTGAGAAAGTTTTTATTTTTTATTAAATATTCATTGTTTTACGGTATTTGCTATGCACCATCGTCTTTATCTGTTTGTGAGCTGAGTCGGATTCAGGTGCATGCCAGGAGATCAGAAATCTTCTAGGAATAATTTTTTTTTTATCCCTATTAAGAAGGGGATGCTGGTGAGATCACACTAAAGTGTTTTAGTGAAGGTCATATGTAAAAGCTGAGCAAGATCACTTTATGGTGTTTCATCTGCTTTTTGTTTTAGTGGTGTCAATTTCAAGGTGGTGTGGATAATCAGAAGTTTACTTCGCTGGATTGGATACACAGACACTGAGATTGGTGGTCAATGGGAGAAGAATCCCCCTACATTAGTGATCTTTGGGAGAGGGGCCCACTTACAATGGTGGTAGGAGGGCCCATTTGCATAGGTGGTCAGTGAGAAGAATTCTACTTATGTTGGTGGACAGTGGAGAAGAATTTCCCTCTTACAGATGGCTAAAAAAAAATAAAATGGTGTTAG